GGAATGGTTTCAGTCTCTCTCCATTGAAAATAATGTTGGCTGTTGGTTTTGCATGAATGCCCTTTATTATGTTGAGGAATGTCCCTTCTATTCCTATTTTGCTGAGAGTTTTGATCAGGAATGGGTGTTGGATTTTTCAAATGGCTTTTCTGCATCAATTGATATTATCATGGGTTCTAATTCTCTGTTTTATTTATGTGATGGATGATGTTGATTGTTTTTCTAATGTTGAACCATCCTTGCATACCTGGTATGAACCCCACTTGGTCATAATATATAATTTTTTTGATATGTAGTTGCAGTCTATTGGCTAGTATTTTTTTTTTTTTAATTGGGTGAAAATTTACAGAGCCAATTCCCTTTCCATACAGCAGTTCACATACACTTTGTCTCATGACATTGACCACAATTCACTACAATGCAACAGCTCCCCTCCCACTTCCTCCCAATAATTACCTCTTCCCTGTGTCCATCCCTCCATTCACTCCTGCCTCCTGAGCTGTGTCCCTGTGCATAAACAGCGCTTTTTTCTCCCATGATTGTTCTCTACAAGGAGTGTATCTACCTCCTTAGGTAAATGTTCAACTGATAAGCCTGTCTCTTGTTTGGCTGGAAGCCACAGGTGTGGGTTCAATTCCAGAACTGAAGGGCAGCTAGGGGCCATAGTCTCAGTGATTTCACTAGGCTCTATCAGTCTAGCAAACCTGGTCCCCTCCCCCCCTTTTTTTTCCAAATGATTCTGAGTTTTGTTCCACATTGTTCTCCCTCTCTATCCAGGATCTCCTGCATAGATCCCCCTCCGAGTGGTTGACGGTGGTAGCCGGGCACCATCTAGGTCTTCTGGTCTTATAGTATAGGCTGTGGATCACATGGTGTACCAGTTGCGAGGACTAATTGCTTTCATGAACCTTTGGTTTTCTTCATTCTTCTTTGCTCTGGATGAGGAGAGACCCATTGTTGTATCTAGATGGCTGCTTGCAAGCTTTTAAGATCCCAGTTGCTACTTGCCAAAGTAGGAGATGGAACAATGTTTTGTATAGTATGTTATGCCAATTGAGCTTGATGTCCCCTGTTACTATGGTCCCTCTGGGTAGCTGGCTGTGACCAAGAAGTGACTACAACCTTGTCCCTTGTTGGCTCTACTATACGCCTGGGAATTCAGGTCATAGAAATACATTTCCAAGACCATTGTCTGCTAACCCTATACATGGTCTTGGGTACACTCCCCGCTTCATGGACATTCCTAATAGTTCAGCCTGTCCACCTATCTATCCACCCATACACCCATGTTTTGCCTTCACTGACAACGCAGTACTGTATGTGCAAAAGGGTTCACCTTTGTTGTCTATACCTCCCATGTACCTCTCTATGTCTTCCTCTTCTTCAATGCCACCGTGTTGATCACTCATATTTGGTACATTGCCTTTCTGTTCACCCAAGTCAATACTTATCTCTATCTAACAGTGTTGCCTCCCCTCCCCTCTCACCCCTGCTAACCAACAAAGAAAACATCCTTCCATATAGAAACCTTACCTTGACATTTACAATAACAGACTAATACAATATTTGTCCTTCTATGATTGACTTATTTCACTCAGCATAATATCCTCCAAGTTCATCCACATTATGCGGTGTTTTGCAGATTCTAGATTATTTTTTAGGGTTGCATAGTATTCCATTGGGAGCTCTGGTAGCATAGTGGCTAAGGCACTTGACTGCTAACCAGAAGGCTGGCGGTTCAAATCCACCAGCCATTCCTCGGAAGGAAGGTTGGGCAATCCTACTTCCGTAGTGATACTGCCTCGGAAACCCAAGGAGGGGTCACTATGAGTCGGGGCCGACTCGATGGCAAATAACAACAACAAGTATTCCATCGTATGTATGAATCATAGTTTGGTTATCCATTCCTCAGTTGATGGACACTTAGGTTGTTTCCATCTTTTTAGCCTCATTAAACTAACTTTTTACATAAAATTTTCCTTTGTTTTATCAATCTATTGCCATTCCAACTCATTCTGATTCTATATGGAAGTGTAAATTGACATCATCATAATAAAAAAACCCAGCAACTCATTATCCACATTTACCTATGTTCCTTCCATAATTTGATATTTTTTTTCCCCCTTTCACACTAAAGTCTGGCAGCATTGGCCTAATTTACAAGTCACTAGTGATACTGCCTCGGAAACCTAAGGAGGGGTTGCGAGTCAGGTTTGACTCAACGGCACATAACAACAACAACAAGGTTTTCACAGAGGTTAAGAGCTCGATTGTTAACCAAAAGGCGTTAGTTGGAACCTTTACGTCCAACTTTAAGTTGATCCTTTGGCCTTATATAGATGGGTTCTCATATAGAAGCACACTAGATTTAAACCCAAAAGCCTGCTCCTCTGGAGAATGTGACATTCTGCTTAACTAAGGATTACAGCCTTGCTAAGTGTAGGAGGGGAGCTCTGGTGGTATAGTGCCTTCTTGACTGCTACCAGAAGGCTGGCAGTTCAAACCCACCAGCCACTCCTCCAAAGGAAGGTTGGGCAATCTACTTCCCCGGTGATACTGCTTCGGAAACCCAAGGAGTCCCCGCTATGGGTCGGATCTGACTCCACAGCAGTGGGTTTGGTTGGGTTTTTGCTACCTACTCCGGGAAGGTCACTGCCTTGCAAATCCCATGGAGCAATTCTATTCGGCACACACGGGGTCTCCATGAGTCAGAATAGACTCCAGGTCAACTAACAACACAACAAAATACGATTATAAAAGGAACCACTGAAGGTACTCTCTTTCAAAATTTAATTCCAAAGATCCAAAGTCAGTCGAAATAATTTCTGCTAAGGGTTTGTCTCAAGAGGTGCGCTTGCTCCCATGGTCGTTCTAGTCAAGTTGGTTGCTTGTCCCTGAATGCAGGACACAATCTTCATTTCCTTATTTGTGGGTCATACATACTTTCCAGTTGTTAGGCTCGACTTTGTGTGCATGCGAGACTGGACTTGGAGGTGTGCAATTGGGCGTAGCCGACCCGTTTAAACCTGCGAATCCGCGTTTATATAGTTTTTTCCACCCCTGCTTCATCTTAGCTGATGGTACCCGGGTCAGCGCGAACTCCCGGTTCCTGACTCACCTCTTCTCTACTCGCTGCCTCTGCCCGCCTCGCACCCTGGCTAGGACCGGGAGAAGTCTGGGCGACCACTTCTTCCCAGGAGGGGAGAATGGAGTTGCAAAAACTAAACTAGGTGTAAAGCAGAGCACCGTAGCTCAGTTAGAAGAACACTTCTGCGCGCCGGAGCGGGAGGCAAGTTTGCACTCGCGCGAAAGGGGCGGGCCAGCTTGGACCGCTCGCATTTCCTGTGACAGGGGCTGCCCCAGCCTCTCTCTCCCGCGGTGGCGGGACCATTTCCTGAATCTCTGAAGCGGAGGGAGGGTTGGGGCGCGGCCCGACCATTGGAACAAAAGGGTGGGGGGTGTTGGAAAAAGAGCGGTTAAGGCACGCGAGTAGAATCAAGAACAGGGAATTTATACTGGGGCTGTGGTTCTGAAATAACATGTAGAAACAGGATTTTCACAGTTAGAGTTTCTTCTTTCCGCCAGACCGGCTGGTTGTTTCTTCGGGAGTCGATCATTCCCCTCCCCTCGTTCCCGAGGTGGTTCAATCCGGGAGGCCGGCGTCTTTCCCCAGTTTGCCGTTCACCCGTAGCGCTCGGGACTTGCTGATAGTGGTGACGGCGGCAACATGTCTGTGGCGTTCGCAGCCCCGAGGCAGCGAGGCAAGGGGGAGATCACTCCCGCTGCTATTCAGAAGGTGAAACCTTGCGGGTCGGGGATGCCAGGCTCCCCCCCCCCCCCCCCCGTCTTTGGGCAAGACACTGGGGCAGGGCCGCCCCGAGTCGGCCCGGTGGGGGCGGAGGTGGGCCTGCTAGGAAGCAGTTGTGTGGGAACTACAGCTCCGGGCTGTGCCCGAGTAGGTGGCGAAGAGGGCGAACCGGTTTTCTCGCGGGGTCTTTTCGCATATTTAAGCTCTTTCGTATAGGCACAAAAGCCTAGTTAACCGCCGCCCTATTTCTCTAGGGATGGGGCGGTGTTCGGGCAGCCGGGCGCGTGCGCCCGGCGGCGCGGCCGAGCTAGGACAGGCTGTTTCTCACAGTCGGCGCCCCCCGCGCCCCAGCGCGTCGCTCCAGAGTTACTTTGGCGTGGCTCCGCCCCGCGTGCGGAGGCAGCTTTGGGCAGACCAGACCTTG